ATGTCAGCTGCTTTCTACAGATTCAGACAGCAATACCCTGATGTTATTTAAAAATGTTTTTGACTCAGGATTTTTGAATATAGAATATATAGCCATAGTCCTTGGTACAACTGAAAAAAAGGGGGTTACTGTGGCTCCTTAGATATTGTTAGATTACTGTATAGTTCCCCAAATCCTTGATCCCTGGCTGAGGGACATATATTTGCTGCCCACATAGAATGGCACATGCCCATCTATATCACGCTTTTACCTTGCACCTCGCAGAGTCTTGTGAGTGGTGCTAGTCACCACGTCAGCATAGTCAAAGGGTGATGGGATGACTTTGGCTGCCACCAGACCACTGATATGGGCCATGTCAGCAAGCAGGTAGGCCTTCACCTCTTCACACACCTGACAAAAAGGGATACATGAGGACAGGTCAGTTCACACCACTTTGCCGTCCGTTCAGTTCAACCTTTGTCCTCCCAATCCACTAAGACATACCTTCTTGATGCGGGCATAGTCAATTAGACGGGCATAAGCGCTGGTGCCAGCAATGATGAGGCGTGGGCGGAACAGCCGAGCCGTTAACTCAAGCTGGTCATAATCAATGAGTCCTGTTTTGGGCTGGACAATGGACAGAGAAACAAATCAATGCAGGTAGTCCTCAACTTATGATCACAATTGAGCCCAAACTTTATGTTGCTAAGTAAAACATTTGTTAAGTGAGTTTCCCCCCATTTTATGACCTTTTTTGTCACAGTTGTTAAGTGAATCATTGCAGTTGTCAAGGTAGTAACACGGTTGTTAAATGAATCTGGCTTCCCATTGAGTTTGCTTGTCAGAAGTAAAAAGTTGATCATGTGACCCCAGGACACAGCAACCATCATAAATATGACCAGGTACAAAGCATCTGAATTTGGATCACGTGACCATGGTGCAATGGTCATAACTGTGAAAAATGTTCACAAGTCATTTTTTTCACTGCTAAATGTCTATGGAGATTCTCAGTCATCCAGGTCAGTGTTGTCCCAAATGTGCTTTTTCAAGAGGCAACTAGACTATCCTTGATAAACCACTTTGGGGGCATTTCTTTTCACTGCTGTTGTAACTTTGAATGGTCACAAAATGAATTGTTATAAGTCAAGGCCTACCAGTACTGTCTTCCTCCAAATGCTGGCAAAATTAATACAAATACTTGTGTAGATCAACCTACAGGAAATACATCATCTCTAGAAGCTTGCATTAAATCCAGCCAAGATATTGAAGTAGAGATATTACTAGCCATCACTTCCCAGCCACTATATTTATAGCTGGTTGACACCACCAACAATCAGTGTCCTGATTTTCTAAAAAGATTTTTTTTTAATGCAAGAGAATCCAAACAAGAGCATCCACAGAGAATCAGGCTGGAACTAAAAGTGAAAGAAATCCCAAATAATTTTATTGGATGCCTGTAGTGGATACATAAATACATCCTGATGTTTTCCTTTCTCCTTCAGTGCTGGCAATAAGGATCCTCAACGTCAAACCTGTTTGCATACCTTGAAGGTAGAAAACCAGCAATGGGGATGTGGGAATGACAGATAAGAGCCTTTGAATTAGCCTTCCTCAACCAGACATCATCCAGACACATAGGACTGCAAGTATCAATGTCTGGAACATTCCAGTCAACATGGTCAAAATTCTACAAACCACCTTGAAAGTTGCAAGGTCATACCTTTAATATTTAACAAACACATGAAGATGTAATAAAGGGCACTAGTTGAGAAAGTGATTCTCTGTTTCAATTAAAAAGAAAATAAAAGCTGACAGCAAGCATCAGGGTTAGATTCAACCACCCAAGCATAACAACGATTACTTCACCCAGAAGTAAAAAATCTAGTCTAAAAAAAAATCTACCGTTATTCAAAAGAGTGATCTTTGGGCACAGCATATCCAGAAGAGAAACATCGAAGCTACAAAGGGGCGAAGGGGTGATACAATACTGAATTGTGAACATAAATGAATGAATAAAACTGGTGATCGTGAAATCCTATTTCTATAACTTAAGCATATGTATGTCCAATGTTTCCTTTCTTCACAACTTAATCTGCACAATTTACTAATGGGTGTAATTTATTCTGATTTCTGTCAGCTGCAGGGAGGTCCAGTCCATGTGTAAATGAAACTTTCCCCACCATCCTCTCAACTACTGGAAAACCTATTCAGTCACAACTCTGATTTCAGAAAACACCGCTCACACACTTCCTGGCACCACAGAAGCTAAACTGCTGCAATTGGTTGTCACTAAGATTATCATTAAAAAGAAATCTAGATTTTTACAAAATTCATTTGGATCTTCATTCCCAACTTCTGCCTGCATCCAGAATCACAGCATGCACTAAGTTTTGATCAGGAACTCTTTAGCACACCATTCTAGATCTGCGTTCTCCACCTACTCTCAGAAGCAGAAAAGGAAATCAGGGCCATGCAAATATTTTGAACTCCCATTTACTCACATTGAGTTTGTAAGGCATGGACTCAAAGAAGATGGACGTGGCCGAGATACGCTTGACATCCGACATGTATCCATGAGTCAGGCTGTCAAGAAGGAGGAAGACATTTTGTCAAGACAAAAGCTTAAGCCTCAATCATAGCCCAACTGAAGCCAGGAAGCTAAGGGAACAAATATTTATGTCTAAAGGGATTACAAATTAGCCAGGCACTTCCTCCACAAGGCCACCGTGAGACTGGCAGCATGGAGATTATGTGGATTATGGGGAGACACAAAGGACAGTAGTTCCCAGAAAGAGAAGAGGCAGATGCTCTTCAACATCACCCATCATCACCACCATCCATTTTGGTATCCAGGGATGACAAAAACATCCACAGGTCAAAACTAAAGAAAACATCATCATGCCTAAATAAGAGACAGACAACGATGAGGTAATACTACGAGACTGCTGGTCAAAAAAGGGTACTCCAAAATGGCCACTTATGAGTCATTCTAGGCCTCCTCCCTGTCTCTCCCAGCTTCTTCAGCTCCTTCTTCTTGTGGATCAGATCCTCATTCTCCCAGTTATTCTTGTGCACCATCCTCCTCTCTTTCCCCTCAGCTATCCCAGCTGTGGCAGCCCAATCCTCTCTTTCCGCCTCTTCTGATACGCTCCTAGACTGGAACATCTCATGAGGCGTTCCTCCCCAAGTTTCATTCCCCAATCCACACACGTACTGGCCCCCGTCGGGTAAATCCAGGCCCATGAGACGTTCATGAGGCTGCAGCAAGGCTGTGTAGGCAGCAAAATTGGCCGGGGACCCAGAATAAGGCTGGACATTCACCCCCCAGCGTTCAGGATCCAGGTCAAAAGCTTCAAGAGCACGGCGTTCACAGAGCAATTCAATGCGGTCCACCACCTCAGAACCACCATAATACCTGCATCGGGAGATCAATAGCCACAAAGGAAACGTTAGTAACAGAAAAACACACAACGCCACCATAATTTCTGAAACAGAAAAAAAAACTAGAAAAAAAAATATCTTTCTCCTCCATGTCATTGCAGTGTACAAAGAACATTACCTTGGCAACCATTTCCTAACAAAGTATTCTGTGGCCACCCCTTCTCTCCATGTAAGTCTCGGCACCTGGTCCACAATAAATGCCCATACAACACTTTCCCTCCCCCCTGGTTTCCAAAATATAGCTATAACACGTTTCTTATCTCCACCATCAGGATCGGAGGTCACTTTCAGAGCCAACCTATCACTGTATCTGCCCCACAATGGACCTTACCAAAATCTGAGGTCTCTTCTGAAGGCAAATCATTTCATGCAGCTGGCAAACGCCAGGCCTATGAGAAGGGTTCCATAGGATCGACAGGCTTCCTTAGCCTTCACTCCCAGATAATCCAAGAGAACAAAAAAATAGGGCTTCCTCCTTCTGACGGAGTAACGGATATCTGAGTACATATATCTGTATCAGTGTGTACCGTAAATACATATCACTTTGTGACAAGTGGTGTGGTGCAGTGCTTGAGATGCTGTAGGACTTGAATGGAGGGATCATGATCCTTCAAATGTTTAGTGAATAGGACTGGTGGACATATTGGAATATAACCACAGTTATAGGGCCATATAGTAGTCCTTGACTTATGACTGTAATTGAGGCCAAAATTTCTGTTGCTAAGCAAGGCATTCATTAAGTGAGTTTTGCCCTATTTTAACAACATTACTTGCCATCATTGTTAAGTGAATCAGTGCAGTTAAGTTAGTAACACAACCGTTAAATAAATCTGGCTTCCCCATTGACTGCTCTTGTCAGAAGTCACAAAAACGGATCGCCTGACCCCAAGATACCGCAACTGTCATAAACATGAGTCAGTTGCCAAGTTTCTGAATCTTGATCATGGGGGATGCTGCAACTGTTGTGTGAAGAATTATCGTTAAGTCACTTTTTTCAGTGCGGTTGGAACTTCAAGCAGTCACTAAATGAACTGTTGTAAGTCAAAGACTACCGTATTTTCTTATCCTAAGGCAAACTGCTGAGGATAAATTCAGGCAATCTCTTTTTAATCCATTCTCACATCTGCCCATCCCAATCTATTAAGGTCTTTTTGGGTCCCATAATAAAGTACACTACCTCTTGCCTGGATAGCCCTCTGAATACTTGTTGTTGAGACATGATCCCAGGGCCTCCAAGGCAGCCCGACTACAGAAATTCTGAAATTGAAGAAAGAGAAAAAAGGAAGTGCACAATGAAAAAAAGAAAGCAAGGAAGGAAGAAAAGAAAAGAAAGTGAAACTCAATAGACATTTTTGGTTCTCTTATGCTAAAGAAGAAAAACACCGTATTTTGTGGAGTGACAGCTTAATTCAGATGAACACAATGGGAAGATTAAGCTGTTCCTTCTTAGGACCTTCCAAGTGGAGCCAATGCTGTAATGGCCACTTTGGAAGCAAGCAATAGAATAGAATAGAATTCTTTACTGGCCAAGTGTGATTGGACACACAAGGTATTTGTTTTGGTGCAAATGCTCTCAGTGTACATAAAAGAAAAATACATTCGTCAAGAGTCACGAATCATAAGGTACAACACTTAATAATAGTCATAGGGTACAATAAACATAAAATAACAGGTGAGGGTGAATATCTACTAGAATGGAATAGAATAACAGAGTTGGAATTACCAGAGTAATGAAGGGAACTTGAAGTCCAACCTCCTGCTTAGGCAGGAAACCCTATAGTAGAAGAGGAGAACTCCAAATCTGGAGAGAAATAATATTTTGGTATTTCTTAAACTTTGGCTAGGCAGTATGAAAAATATGTTGTTGATTTCTTGTTAAAGGCAATTATAATCCTTTCTCCATCCATTAATATTGCAAGACGACAGGAAAGACATTACAGACTGTTTAATTCTTGCAACTTTTTTTTAAAGGTAGACTACTTTGCAAATAGACAACCTAATTTGACAGAACAGCAGTCCCAATAAGTTTCTCTAGGCAGCTGCAAAGAGTTGAACTAGAGATTTTCAATCCACATTCTACAAAATGTACTGAATTGTGACAAATGAACAAACATCAGGCCAATCTACTAATGGGCCATGCTCTGCGATCACATATCCATTGCAGAGGGAAGAAGAACAGTTCCATGAAAGGATGGAAATCTATTGCCTTTTCAGATGGTTTGTGGGTTTTCAAGAAATATGTGATTTGCTACTGTACCAGAAGTATGATGGACACAGAAGAATACAACTGAAAAGCCATAATCTGTACTCTTAAAGATCTGGGTGAATTTGTCATTATGAAGTAAAGTGACTAAGCCTCTGCTGAATACAGGTAATCCTCATCTTACGACCAAAACTGAGTCCAAAAGTTAGGTTGCTAGGTGAGAAATTCGTTAACTGAGCTTTGCCCCATTTTACAACTTTTCTCGCGACAGCTGTTAAGTGGATCACTGCAGTTCTTAAATTAGGAACACGGTTGTGAAGTGAATCTGGTTTCCCCATTGACTTTGCTTGTCAGAAGGTCGCAAAAAGGGGATTGCGTGACTCCAGGATTCTCCAACCATCATAAATGTTGAGTCAGTGGTCAAGCAACCGAACGTAAATCACATGACCATGGGGATGCTACAATAGTCATAAATGTGAAAAATGGCCATAACTCACTTTTTCAGTGCCATTGTAACTTGTAAATGGTCACTAAATGAATTGTTGTAAGTCAAGGATTCCCAGTATATGTTTTTAGGAATCAAGGAAGATGACAACATTCCCCCATTGAAAGGATCCCAAGTAAAATGCCTCCATTTCATCTTTAACCCCGGGCTGAGGAAGAAGATGCTTCTGTCACTCACCTCTGAGGCAATGAGTTCAAGTCCCCGGCACTGGCGATCTTTTTCTTGCTGCACCAAATCCCACATCTCAGGGTCGCTCTCTGCCAAGCTTTCCTGCCCGGTCCAGCCTGATGCCTCCTTGGAAGAAGCTGCAGCTGCCTTGCTGTGTTGGGCCCGCAGGCTGCCCCTTGCTTGGCAGCATCTTTGTAGGGGCTGAGAAGGTAAAAGAGCAGACAGGATCACAAGAGAGCCAGCATAAGCCATCCCGATCAGAAAACAACTGATTCTTCAAAAACATATAAACATACTGTATATTATCTGTTATCTAAATCCTTTACTTGAAGCCCCCATTAATACATATTTGAAATGGCCACCTAGGAGAGAAACCTTTATAGCTCCAGATGTTGTGGGATAAGAATGCCAAATAGTTCCATCCCATAGGACCAATGTTTGTAGCAATAGCACTTAGGCTTACATATCGCTTCACAGTGCTTTTACGGCCCTCTTTAAGCAGTTTATAGAGTCAGCCTATGGCCCCTAACAATCTGGGTCCTCGTTTTACCGACCTCAGAAGGTTGGAAGGCTGAATCAACCTCGAGCCAGTGAGAATCGAACAGCCAGCAGTCAGCAGAAGTAGCCGCAGTACTGCATTCTAACACTGCCCCACCAACTATAATTTAAAGGATAGTTAAATTTCATTTGAGTGTCCAAACTTGGAAGCTACTGAGGTCAACGATATGAATAAGAAAAGAAAGCATGAGATTAGGAAATGTCTGAGGGAAAAAAAAAATGACTGGTTTAAATAAGAAGATTTTCCTCTCCCCTCACCAGACATCAAGACTTCTTTAAAAAGGAAGGTTTTGGAGATTTCCTATAAAGCAGGATTGAGAGGACCAAGTATATCTCCAAGGACAACAGATTCCACAGTGGAAGAGCTACCATAGAAAAATCCTTGCTCCTGGTCCCATTCTTCTTAGTTCATCTCAGAATGTGACCTCGAGCCTATTATCTGACAGAAGAAAGAGAATAATGGTGGACAGGGGACAACTGAGCAGAAAGATAAATCTTCCAAAGCAGTAAAATACTTATAAAAAAAAGCTTTGTAGCAAGGAGAAGAGCATTCTGGGAACAGAGAGTTCTGGTTCCCAAATCGTCACTCTTAATAACTTACAAAATGCTATGCCTTCAAACAGTGTTGCAAGGGAATTATGACAGAAGAGGGGAATATCCTGCCTGGGAGGCCCTCCCAAAGATATCGGACTAGCCACTATGAGAAACAAGATGCTGGACTAAAATGGGCCTAGGTCTGATCAGCAGGGCTGGTTTTAAGTTCATTGAGATATCCCCAGATGATCACTAGCAATCTTAAGAGCCAATGCTTGAAATTGGGGAAAGACTGTTCATATATAAAAACTCCACAATCCCTGAGGAAGCCCTATATGTTTAAAGCAGCTTTCCTTTTTCGAGACCAGTGAGGGAAGGGCCAGATCCCTCAAAGATGTCTTTGCAAGGTTTAGGATACAGTTCAATTCTTCCTTCATGTAATTAAGATCACAGGAAAGATACTGCCAAACCAGACTTGGCAGTAAACTCTACCCTTGGGTCCTCAGATGTTACTGCTCTTATCAGCATAAGCAATGGCAAAGAATGATGGGAATCGTATTCCAAAAGCATCTAGAGCCATTCAAGTTTGGGAATTACTGCCTATACAGATTTCAACAGCTTGGAATTCTCCAGATACAGCATATTAATATCGCAACTCCCAATAGTGCAAAGAACATTGTCAACAGAGTCCATTGTGGGATCCTTGATGCTCTCTGAGCTTGCTTGTTTTCTTGCAGATTTTCCTTATCCAAACTATTACCCTATTACCCTAGTTTGGGTAATGAAACATCTGCAAGAAAACAAGCAAGTTCAGAGAGCACCAACGATCCCTCATTTCTCCTTTATTGAGAGTCCATTGTTTTTGGAGGCTGTGAGGTTGCAGGAAAATGGTGTAAAGACTAGATTACCCAGTAAGTTACACTGATCCAGTATAGATCTCCAGATCAACTCTCTCACTCTGCCATGCTGGCTCTTGCAGCAGTGACCAGTAGAAATCATGTTCATGTCAGAACTAGACTATCATCACATAAATATCATGGATAGCAAGAAATTTAAATTACAAATTTCTGTCATCAGACAGTTATTGAGCACAGTGGTAGTTTTTGAAGATTGGGGGGAAAAGGAAATCATGCAGGCGAAATATTACTTTTGCTAACATTAAAGAACACAGTCCTATATACTGGCAAGCATGCAAACCAAAATTGCTGAAGCTAGTCAACTTCACTCTAAGTTGTCTCAATGAATTTTCAGAATGGCATTTACATTCCTTACAGCATCCTACCCAAATGGAACTCAGAAAAGGAATTACAGTTCTAGCCACTTGACTCAATGAATGAGCAATGGAGTGAGAACTCAAAAGACAAAGCTAGAGGGGCGAGTGGGACAGTCAATTTCAAGGTCTGGTGAGACAGAGATGGCTCTGTACTGCAGATGGGCAAGTAGGCCTCTGTTGAGAAGAACAGCCGAGGCTTCTGTTTGTGCTGCTGAGCTGGTAAATCCAGTCAGGGAAGAACTTCTAGGTGTGTATGTGTCTACAAAGCTGTACTGGTTCCCTCACCCCCGCCACTAAAATTCATTTCAAAGTAAGGCCATTACCACAAACGACAGGCACCTTGAGGGAAAAAAACAAAACAACTGGCTTTCATTTTCTTTATTAAAGGGATTATCAGCCAACCATCATCTCCTCTACAAATGATGCAACGACCTCATATAAGTTGCATCAGCAAAGTAGCAAAACTTTAAGAATGCGTCAAGTTTGGCTTTAAGGATGAAATGCTCCAATGCTGTTTGCCAGGGGGAAAAATTTTAAATTCCTTTTTTAAAGGAAAGGGATATTTGACAGGTTGCAAGGATAAATTTGCCCACACAACCTTTCATCATTTTTGTTGTGGTGGTGTTTTTTTTTTTTTAAGGAGGATTTTAATGACATTATCTAATCAACAGCCTTGCAAATCAGAGAGGCCGGGTCATTTTATTGATGGTTCCAGGGTCCAACAGAGTTACTGCCAAGGGACCTTTAGCCAGGTCACAGAGTAACTGCACAAAGTTAGTTTTGTCTCTGATCTGTTCTTTCCTTCCTGCCCGCTGGAGGCCCTAACCAATTCTGTAATTCCTCTCTTCAAAGCTGCAATGTCAGATAGGACAGTATGTGAAAGAAAAGAGATGTTACAAAAAAATTAGCTCATAAAAATCAGCAAAGCGTGACTGCTTGGAGAGGTTTCCACTGATAATAGCGTCTCAGTCCTGAACGTCAAGATAACTCTTCGCCTTGCTCTGTGCCGCTTCCAAGAGCTATTAGCCAGAATTAAATAATAATTGAGTAGCAGAATGGCAACGATCTGTGCCGCTATCAGATCCCTGCTATAAGCCCCAGGCGGGCATATAAACTCCTCTACCCAAGAAACTCCGATTTCTAAACTTGCACACTTAACAGTCCCATTCAAAACAAAAGAGATAAAATGAGGGGGGGGGGGGCGGGAGAGAGGAGGAGAGGAGATGGCTCTTTCCTGGAGCAGCGAAACTTATTGCTGTTCAGAGAAGTAGAAGAACTGAACCGAGCGTGGAGAACAGCTTAGGCCTTTTTGAATAACCCATCACCCTCCATGCGGCTGGGGGGGGGGGGGCGCGGGGGGGCGGGAAAACGACCATTGAGGTCAGACCCCTGATGCTTTGCAATTCAAGTCATCCGCTCTCCATCCCAAGAGGCCCCAAACATCAAAAGCGCTTCTCAGAAGTGACCAATGAAGCAGCTGCCCCTCTGCTCCCACTTCAAGGGGGCAGAGCAACTTGCTCTCTTCCCCTCCACGAGAGCCCCATCTGCAATTCGCACCGCATCTTACCTTGGCAAAGTGTCTAAAAGGGAAAGGCAGCATAACAGCCTAAGACGAGGAAAGTGCAAACTGTTGTACAAGCTGTTGCTCACGTTAAGTGAGTCCAAAGACCAAAGAAAAATCGCTGAGCTGGTGAAAAGGGGGAGAGGGAAAAAAAAAAAAGAAGGGAAACGCGTGGCTCTTCCTTCGCCACTGCCAGCTACTACCGGGTGCAAAAGGCACTATGGGAGATGTAGTTTTTACTCTCGATACTCCTTCTTGCTTGCCCTTCTTATCAGCGGCGGCTTCGGGACGGGCATCTGCGGCGATCGCTGTTATGGAAGAAGGAATGAACTTTCAGTCTGTCTCGGTGAAAGCGAAAGCAAGTGTCAGTGACGTAACGTCGAAGGATATGTTCTTAATGTAACATTTAAGACCCATAATGGGGTGGGTTGAATTTGACTCTCATGACTGAATTTGGGTCAAAACACCTCCCGTTTATCCAGACAAGAAAATTAGAAAAGTGGCTGCTTTTCCACAACATTGTGTGATTGCCTGTTTAATTCATTAATTTATTGCCACTCCACCACACAAGCTCTATAGTAGCCTCTTATACTTTGTACACCTGCAAAATAAGTCAAAATACAAGAGGCAAATTCCATTGTTGCATCTCTACCAACGTCATGAGCGACCGGGCAACCAAGGAATTAGAATCTGTATTACAACAACATCTGTAATACAAAAAAGCATGTGCTCTTGAATTTCCAAGAATTTCTCTGTGAGTGAGAGGATTAAAAAGCCTGGTTAAAAAAAGTGGGAAGTGGTACAATAGTGGTGTTTAAATCACTTATGTACATTTGTAGGTGGCATACTGGGAAACCTAGAAGATATAATCAAATATTGCCCATTACCAGCAAAAAATGGTGTAGCCTTCATTTTTGAAAATGAATACAGTAGCTTGCTGTTAAAGATAGATGGAAAAGAAGAGACAACAATCATTCATTCCCGGAGTGGAGATATAAGACAGGCTTGAAAAACCATTGTTTTCTTTAAATAACTAAAACTGTCTAACCAATGAAGATCGTCTAATAAAGGGAAAGACCAAACTGTTGGACCTCTCTCTTGCTAAACTCATGTTTTGGGGTTTCTATGTGGAATATTGAAAATCAATTGTGAGCCATGGTACTGAGATTCCATAGAATATGGAAAGGGCTTTCCTGATAAATGCTGATAATCTTGGACTACAGGTGTATCCCCTTGCTACCATCTAGTGGTCCTCTGGGTTTTTGCCACCTAGATCTGGTAGCCCTACCTGTAAGGTGGGCAATAGCTGACCCCCTAATACATTACAGAAGCACATAGAATAGAATAGAATAGAATAGAATAGAATAGAATAGAATAGAATAGAATAGAATAG